CAAAAGCAAGATGGGTTACACAGAGTATCAGTAGGTTATGGCTACTTTAATCAAGTAGCAAAACCAATCACTGCTACATTTCCAGATGTGGTATCTGCTAGAGCAAATAAAAGCAACCCTTGGTATGAAGCTACTGGCTTGGCAGTTTCTCGTTCTCATCAGTAAGGAAAATTAGAAGCAATTTGCATTTATACTGCAAAGGTCAAAGTATACTTTTAATGGATTTTATCCATTCTTCTGCAATCATAATAAATAGCTCAGGGGAAATTGATCATTTAGATATACAGAATACCACACTGATCTGTTACATTGATGACGTTATTCTAATTGGACCTGGTGAACAGGAAGTAGCAAGCACCTTAAATTCCTTAGTAATACCTATTTATTACCCTGAGATAGGAGATGAATGTTACTATAAGGTCCAGAGCCTGTCTTACTGGTTAAGATTCTGCGGGTCCAGTGATATGAGACATATCGGATTCTCTCTTCAGGGGTGAGAAGAGCCATACCTTGGTGAGAAGGCTATGTTGCAGGGCCCACCATGGAGCAAGGAGTGTAATATGAGTTGAGCCTTAGATTTTAGAGGTAATACATATCACATTGGTCAAGCCACTCCTGCCCATTTACTGTAGCCCATTTACAAAGTTGCTTGTTTGAGTAGGACTCAGAGGAAAAGAGGGTCTGCAGCAAGTCCAGGCCATGACAGATGCCCTGACCTGTGGGCTTCATGATGCAATAGTTAACAGAATTATCAGGGTTGATGGAGATGCTGTATGGAGCCTCTGAAAAGCCCCAATAAGAGAATGACAGTGCAGACCCTTAGGGTTTGGGAGTAAGGTCATGCCTTCTTCTACCAACCACCATTCTTGATAGGAAAAGAGTTTTCTTGGCTCTGATAGAAACTGAACATTGCTCTATGGGGCCAGATATGTACAGAGTTGAATAGTGTCCCCAAAATCCGTGTCCATCCTGAAACCTCAGAATATGACTTCATTTGGAAATAGAGTCATTGCAGATATAATTAGTTAAGATGAGGTTATACTGGAGCATGCTGGACCCTTAACCCAATATGACTAGTGTCCTTGTAAGAGGAGAAGAGACACAAAGACAGACACACAGGGAGAATGTGACAACAGAAGTAGAAATTAGATCATGTGTTTACAAGCCAAGGAAAGCCAAGGATCGTCAGCAACACCAGAAGCTAAGAAAAAGGCATAGAATACATTCTTCCTTGGAGCTTGCAGAGAGAGCATGGTCCTACCAACACCTTGCTTTGGAACTTCTAGCTTCTAGCTTGCATGAGACAATAAATTTCTGTTGTAACTAGGCCACCTAGTTTGTGGGTATTTTGTTACCACAGCTCTAAGAAACCAATACCAGAGGCAACCACACAATCTGTTACACACCTTGAACTGGGTATGACATGATCATCAAACCATAAACTTGAGTGTGAACAGCAACACGTCATTGTAAAATGGAAGTGTTATCTGTGAGACACATCTGGCTCCAACAGGTTTGGCGGGCACAGTAAAATGCACGTGTCTCAGACTCTCATTCCACCTGCTCTTTGCTGTCTTTTCCTCATCCCACACCTATAACTTCATGGGGAATGTTCTGACTCATTAAAGGAAAAACTTGGGCCTGGTTCAAAGATTAATTCTTGCTGTGCCAGCACAATTGAAAGGAACAGCTACTGTACTAGAGCCCACTCAGTAGTGATGGAAAACCTTCCCAGTCTGCAGACTTTGGAGTGGAATATATGATTGTTTGTTTTGTGTCAAAGGAGAGATGGCCTGAGCTGTTGATCTATAGTGGTTTATGGACAAAAGGATAGGCTGGTCAGCTGGAGCAGGACTTGCAAAGAACAAAATTAGAAAAGTGATTACAAGAAAATCTGGAGGAGGGCTACATAGGTGGAATCTTTGGAAAAGCAAGAGTGTGAATGTATTTGTTTTCCACCAAATGCCTACCAGAGGGCATACCTGGTAGAGAAGTTTCTCAGTAGTTGAGTAGACAAGCCTAGTTTTCCTGTGGAGGTAATGAGCCTCTTTCCCGTGCCTTGTGCTTGCTTAATGAACTATCTATGTACAAAGTGATCAGGTGGCAGGAAGAGAGGCTATTCCTGAATGTAACAGTGTGGGCTTCCCCCACTAAGGCTGGCCTTGTTGACTATAACTGCTGGGTGCCCATTCTGCAAACAATAGCAGCCAGCTCTGAGATCTCTCATAGCTCTGACAGCGTCTTTGATCAGGGGACCCAATTTATAGCAAAGGAACTTGATAATCACTTCATACCCATGAAATCCCTTAGTCTTCAATGTACTTCATCACCCACATGTAGCTGTCCTGATCAAACAGTGAGATGTAATGCTAAAGTCCCAGTACCACATGAGCTGAGAGACAATATCCTGAGACTAAAGTATATTGTATTACAGAATGCAGTCCAGGCCTTAAGCCAGAGACCAACGGATGCTACTCTCTCCCCCAAGCACAGCCATGATTCACAGGTCTGGAAATCAGGGCTCATGATAGCAGCAGGTCTCCTTACTACCACATCTAATTGCCACTGAATGGATTTCTGCTTAAAGTCCTTACAAACTTAGACACTGTGGGTTTGAAGGTCCCATGGCCTAGAAGAGGAATGTGTCTACCAGGTTGTGATACAATGAACTGGAAACTGATACTGGCCACTGTTGGCTCTTCATCCTTCTGTAAAAAAACAGGGGCAAAGAAGACAAACCAAATGTTGTGATTGTCCCAATTCCAGAGGGCATTTTGATTGCTATTATTCAATGGCATGTGAAGAGTTATAATTGGAACCTAGAAGGGGATTTACTGGAATTCTTTAATATGTCCTCATCCAGTAGTCCTAAATTGAATACTACAGCAGAACAAGACAAGACCACCAAGTCCTCAGACTCTTCAGGAATGACAGTTTGGGTCACGTGCCTGGGAAAAATTCTAGCAGAGGGAAAGAACTTAGGGCTCATGGCTACAGCAGCTGTGTTTCCCAAGATTTCTTCCCCCACTTGTGTCCCCCAGGTACTTTTTATGAAGAACACAAGTCTAACTAACATTTTAGGTTTCAGAAGAGTCTGAATTGACATCACCCCACACGCTTATAGTAGCTTGTGGGCTACCTGATGCATTTGTCCATATTGAGAGGAGATTTAGACTATTGGGCAGGGAAATCTGGATGTTGAGGCTGTGAAATTCTCATAAAAAACAAGCTAACATAATAACAAGGACACTGTTAGTTCCCGAGAAACCAAGGAATTGTATGGGGAATGATGAGCAGTCACAGCGTGATCTATGTATTTTCCATTCACCTGGTCATAATAATGTAAATACTGGGTATTTACACAACTAGAATTAGGATTATACTCCATTAGGAACATGGAAGACAGGAAGTGTATGTGAGTATAAGAGAAGTAGAGAGGAGAACTAGAATAGAGTTCAATGCTCATCGCCCATGGCGCCAAGTCTATAGACAATGCCTATGACACCGAAATCAGGAAGCATGTTACTTAAACATATGAAGGTAAACACAAATTAAACATAGCTTTAAGTATTCCACTTTGATGCCTTTGGGGAGGGAGAATAACAGGAAGTAATAATACTTCCGAGGATTTGAGTTTTCTTTTCATTTTGTTTCAAAGAATGAAGGACATCAAGCCGAAATAAAGGTATCTTTAGATTGCCAGGTGATTTGGGTGGTTACCAGCATGTTCAATGGAATCGAACATCCTGAATAAATCACATGCAGTTGGAATAACAGAATGTGTTTCATAGTAATCATTTGGCTTACTCTTTACCAATGTTTGACGCTTGCAAATTTTCAAGTTAGCCTAACAGTATTCATTTCCAAGATTTCATTTTTAATTTGCTAAGTGTTAATAGGTTCGCATATATTTTGATATAATAATAAAAGAGAAGTTAAAATTAATTGTAAGATTTATTATCAGTATTAATTTTGAACTGTAAATCCCTATCAAATAAAGATACAAGTGGTTAGATTGTCTTAGATGTGAAGTTAGGACTTACTAATTTTTATCTTTAGTTCCTGAAAAGGTAAACAAATAAGTATTTTTGCATGTCTGCTGTGATCAGGATTTTCAGAATATAATGAGTATTTTTACTGATGTCCAATAGTTTTAAATTTTTTGTTGTTTTATTTGTTTGGGGGTCTAGATCTCATCTTTATTAGCATGACTTTTTTTCCTAAAATTACCTATAGATTGTCACATTTCATCAACTTCAAGTAGCAAAGTCAACAGAATGTGTCATCTGCCCTTTTTTAAAAAAAAAAGATTTTATTTATTTATTTGACAGAGAGAGAGAGCATGCCTATGAGCTGGGGGAAGGGAAGAGGGAGAAGGAGAGAGAGAATCTCAAGCAGACTCTACGTTGAGCATGGAGCCAAATGTGGGGCTCGATCCCATGACCCTGAGATCCTGACCTGAGCTGAAATTAAGGCAGACACTTAACTGACTGAGCCATCCAGGTGCCCCATCTGCCCTTCTTTGTTTAAAAGAAATGACAATAGTTTCAAAACTTGTCAGATCAAAGTCTGCCTTGCCAGCATTCGTCTCTTAGTGGGCCACAGAAAGTATAGTTGTGGTCTTTGAAACTACTTTCAAACCTGGCCAGGTGTCCTGATTACCTAAGCTTATTTAAGATTTCCATGCCTTATCTAAGACCTGGAGAATCAGAATATAGGAGGTTGGGGCCCAAGAAAATATATTTTTAGCAAGCTCCCCAGATCACTCAGATATGTATTTAAAATCGTGGCTATTACATAAATCACAAAATTTAGAAAAATACCCTCGAATAATACAATTTCTATTTTTAAATTTATTTTCTAACAAACATCCACAAATTTATCTAAGTCTTCCTTTTTATAATACCTTATGTGGGTTCTCTTGTTCCTGAGTTTATATTAATCTATTTATATTTTATTTTATTTATTATTTTTAAAGATTTTATTTATTTATTTGACAGAGAGAGAGAGCACAGCAAGGGGAGTGGCAGGCAGAGGAAGAGGGAGAAGCAAGTTCCCCATGGAGCAGGGAGCCCGATGCAGGGCTGAATCCCAGGACCCTGGAATCATGACCTGAGCTGAAGGCAGACGTTTAACCAACTGAGCCACCCAGATGCCCCAATTTATTTATATTTTAGCATTACTTTGAGGAACAAAGTTCCAAAATCTTCACAGTTTGTAAAGTAGAACTTCGTATTTCTATTATGTTTTCCTCCTTCAAAATAAATTGTCTTTAAAATGATCTCTTTGCATGCAAATTATTATCAAGTAAAAACTCGGACATAATGATTCTCAAGGGTAATAATTGAGACCCCATGAGAAAGGACAGCAGAAATGAGAGTGGAGCAAGTTAACCAAGAAAAACAGACAAACAAGCAAACAGATAAAAGCAATCAAAGCAAACCATCGCAATGCCTGAAAATGTAGCAAGAGGGACAGAAAAGAGCACAGTGGAAGTGACATGAAAGATTTGCTTTCTGGAATTGTCTTACAGAAGATTAACTTAGTGGAGAATGTCAGACTTTCTGCTGCAGTGACAAATTGAGGAGATAGGAAGCAGAGAAAGAAATAGGAGTGGAGCCGGCATCTGGACAAAATGAATGCAGGACAAAGTGAAAGAAACAAGTACACATAGAAAAAGGCCCTATTTTTGTTTAAGGACAATATTATTCTCCTTGTCACTCAGGCTCAATACTAGTGATTTATTGATTCCTCTCTCTCAGCCTCTGCATTCAATCAATTGCTTAGTCATTGTGGCTTTTACCATGAAATGTCTTTCTTATCCATCTTCTTTTCCTCGCCCCTAGGATCATCTTAGTGCAGATCTCAATTTCCTCCCACGTAGACACTTACAACGATATTCTTGCCTTTGATTTCATACACCTCTGCTATGGACCGACTCGTGTCTCCTCAAAACTCCTATGGTGAAGCCCTAACTCATGTGACCATATTTTGGAAATAAGACACTTGAAGAGCAAATTAAGGTCAAATGAGATCATAAGGGGGTGGGTTCCTAATCCAATATGATTGCTGTCCTTATGAGAAGAGGAGGAGGGGCACCTGGGTCGACCTGGGTGGCTCAGTTAGTTAAAGGTCTGCCTTTGGCTCAGGTCATGATCTCAGGGTCCTGGGATGGAGCCCTGTGTGCGGAGCTCCTCACTCAGTGGGGAGTCTGCTTCTCCCTCTGCCTTCGCCTCTCCTCCCCCACTCATGTTATCTCTCTCTCTCAAATAATAAATAAACTGCTCTACTCCTCACTTGGGTTTCACCCAGCCTCCATCTCTGAGATCAGCCGTGGCTTAAGAGAGGTTATTCTGTCTCTCCAGCTTCAGTCTGGAGATCTTAGTGATGTGTTAGTGCTGTTGATTCTCTGTAACCAGATCCCTCTCTGAACCAATAAGTTGCTGCCTTCTTCCACAATAACCAAATTACTGCCCCACACCAAGCCCCACCAGACTCAATATTATCATGAAACATGCTCCTAGGTACCCTGATGCCATTCTGCCTAGATTTGTGCTGATCATCTGTTATAGATCCGCCAGTCATTTTTTCTCAGGCATCTTGCATCATCTTGATTCACTCCGGATCTTATCCTGAATTTAGAAATGTTGTTATTCTATCCATCCTGATTGGTCCGGAGTTTCATTTGTTACTTGCCCCGTGAGAATGGCCCAGTTCCACTTTTAGACCTTTTAGAACTCAAATGTTTTCCTGGAATCCTTGGGGAACACTCAGCCAGTTTTCACGCCCTAATGATTTTTCTCTCTCTCATGTGTCATATCCGGTCTGTCAATAAATCTTATAATCTCTCACTTCCAAATATATTCAGCATCTAATTACTTCTCAGTACCTGCACCATCACCACCTTAGTCCAATCCACTCACAATCATTTCCCACCAGTTGTTACTGCAATGGCCTCCTCATTAGTTTTCCTGCTTCTGCCCTTGATAATTGAGGCTGCTATTAACATATTCGCTAGAGTTTTCTTACAATTCAAGTTATGTCGTCCTCAGGACTCTCCAGTGGATTCCCATATCACCCAGATTAAGAGCAAAGTCCCTGCAATGACCTACCAAGGCCAAAGGATCTGTCTTCCACTACTAACTGCTATTTTTCTGACCTCATTTCTTATGGCTATCCCCATCACTCACTGAGCTCTTGCCACTCCAGCTTCTATTTCTCAAATAGGACAGGAAGTTTTCAACCTCAGGGCCTTTGCATTTGCTCTTTGCTCTCCCCACAATACTTTCTCTAGATATCCCTGTTGCTTCCTCATTTACTTCCTTCAGTATTTTTCTCAAAAGTTACAGTCTCAGTGCTGTCTTCTCTGGCCACAAGATCTAATATTTCAGCCATGTGCTGGACATATCTTTTGTTTTTTCTCTGCTTTATTTTTTTCTCCTTACCAGCTATCACTATCCAATGTAGTATATACTTGTGTGTGTATTATTTATTGCCTGCTTTCCCTTCTAGAAGATAAACTTCATGAATGCAAGAATGTTTTTGTTTTATTCACTGCTCTAATCAACACAAAGAATATTGTGTGGCATGTACATAGAGGTACCCAGTGAACACTGAATGAATGAATTTTGGATTTTGAGTTCTGCCTTTTCTGATCCAGCCTATAATTCCATGCTTGTGTCCCTGTCATGACGAATGAAGAGGACTCTGAGGCCCTGGATGTGCAGTACAATGCCTCAGTGGTCTGAATCACTCTAAGCTAGCTCTAGATGAAGATGGAAACATAGTTCATAGGCTCTACAACCACGACTGGTAGTCATCCTAGGACACATTGCAGCTCTGTGGCTGAAGAGGCAAAATTCATTTTTTGTATCCACTTAAGGATCTGTTGGTTTCCATATTTATCTTAGAACATAGAGGAATCCCAAAACTGTGCTCAAAAATATTCAGCAGGGAAAATACTTTGGAGTTTAACATATCCTAGTATCAAAAAATTCTTCTAGGGGATGCCTGGGTGGCTCAATCAGTTAAGTGTCTGCCTTCGGCTCAGGTCGTGATCCCAGGGTCCTAGGATCAAGTCCCACATCAGGCTCCTTGCTCAGCGGAGAGTCTGCTTCTTCCTCTCCCCTCTGCTGGTGCTCTTTCTCACGATCTCTCTCTCAAATAAATAAATAAATAAAATCTTAAAAAAAAATAAATTCTAGTTCATCTAAATATCTTGTGCTAATAGTAAATTTATTTTCTCTTATTTTATGCTCAAAAAATAGGGAATAGGAGGTCTCCGTCATACACATGGTAATCTTTTATGTGAAAAATATTTTTGTCTAGGAAGCATTCCTAGAAGTCAAGCAATTTGTCCCACCAATTAGCTAATATCCTGTCTGTAGCTGTTAATATAGGTGATGACAATAAATCTGGTTAATTAAGATAAATAGTTGGTTCTTGCTTCTAGTATTGGGGTAAGAAAATACTCAGATACATATAATGTGATAATGTAGGTATTTTTAAGAAGTTTTGTCTGCTTTTTGGAATACAAGGGGCTGCCCTAAGTATCTTAAGAATCCTTAGTAAGATTCGTGAGTAAAATACTTCTGGTCTGTAGGAAACATTGACTGACTGTCTTCTCAGGATTTAGTACCCCTCCCCCCACCTTCCTCACAGCACCCAAATTTTGGTTCCCATACGGTGTGGAATACATGCCGTTTGTCTTCAACGGCCTCTGCCTTGGAATGCCAACCAGTACGGACCATATCAACAGGGCTCTGGCATCTTCAGGTTTCTGGTTTGGTTTGAACAATGAGGAGCTTCAATAAAAACAGGAGAAAACAAGAATATAAGATTGTTGCTTCCACTAATTCCCTCCCAACCTCCTCTGAAATTACCTGTGTTCCTAATGGGTCACTGCTCCTAACATGCTATCCTCAGGGCTCCTCTTCTGGGTTCCAGTAGTCTCTTCCTCCCCTTTTCCCTTTGGGCCTGGGATTGGAAATGGCTCTGCTGTTTCTTTCTCCAAGTTCCTGTGCTTATAATTCCACTATACCCCATTCACAACTTTGCAATTTGGCCCTTTGAATAAAACCAGAACTAAAACAAATACATCTCACCTCAAAATATCCTAATTTAGTCCATATGATTTCTGATTCCTTTGGGATTCCGACGAATACAGACATTGGTAACTTGTTCATGTCGACTTACTTGTTTGGGGAAAATATTGTGTCAAGTGTAATGCCAAGGATGGGTCTTGATTAGCTAAAGCAAATGAGAACATTTTATTCCTCTTGGCTTGGTTGGAAGAAGAGTATTAGGCACATAACCTAAGCTGATTCAATTGGAATAAATATTATAAACTTTTCCTGGAACTTTTAGACAAAAGTACTTTCTTTCCCAATGGGTAAACCAAGAAGTATGTGGCCTATTATTTGTTAGCTATCCTACAACCATAGGGCAATCAGCTTTAGAATGAAACCAACATGTGGGCAGAATAACAGTGAGTAGAATATTGGAACCAAATCCTTGACTGGAACTTTCGATGAATCCTGAAATCTGTCCTTTCACACTTTCATGAGCTAATAAATCTTCTGTATTGTTTTTGCCAATTTCAGCTGACTTTTCTGCAGCTTGCATCATAATGAGTCTGAACAAACACATGTTCATACAGAAACTTGATTCTGATGATTTACCACAAATTTTCCAGCTGGAAATAGGTATGGATAGTGAAATAAACCAGGAAGAAGAAATACACAAGTAAGGACCTCTTTTCTTTTCTCAGGGGCTCCTTGAAGTATTTCCAAGTGGCCAATAAAACTGTGTGTACCAGTGAGCTCGTTTAGCTACTCTGGAACAGTCTTTGTAGGAATCCAATTAAGAAGTTCTTCAATCCACATGATCTTTTCCTATTGCAAACTCATCTACAACTTGATGTCATTACTGGCTCAGTTATTCTGTAAACAAAAGCTCAGTTCAAAACAGTATTTAGCAAAATCGCTATACACAAGTGAGGCAGAATGGTGGTGGCCAATGAAATTAATTTTTAAAGTATCCAGAAAATGTTAAGGTCCTTTGAAAAAGAGAGAAATAAGGACAGAGAAAGGGTAGATGATATTAATATATGGTGAAAAACAGAGAAAAGACTCCAAAATGCCTAGACTGTGACACAAACTCAAGGGAACTATGAAAAGAACACATCTCAGAAGTGAATTTATTAGATT